TAAAAAACAACAACACACACACCCATACATAAACACAGAAAAAGAACTGGAAAGTAATAGAGCACAATATCTAAGATGGCTATCTCTATGTGGTGGGAGTTCGAGTGCTTTATTTATTTATTATTTATTTATTTATTTATTTTTATTGAGTCATAGTTGATTATACATATTTTGGGGGTTTGATGTTGACATATGTTGATCAAATCAATATTACTAGTATGTATATTGTTACAAATTATACTTATTCTTTATGTCCCTTGTCCAACCTCTCCCTATCCCCATCTCTCTCCCCCCTCCTGCTGCTGATAATCCTAGACTTCTTTTCTCCCTCTGAAAGAGTAATGGTTACTCTGTTGATTTGTTGCTTAGATAATCTGTCCAATGCTGAGAGATGTGTTCAGGTCCCCCAAAATTATTTTAGAGCAGATGTTTCTTCTGTAACTCTGGAATGGGCTTTGGTCTCTGCTGGCGACTCTCCTTGTGTCAGTGCACTCCAGTGGCTGGTGGGCCATCTGCGTGGTGGTTGTGGCATCTAGCCACTTTCATGGCAACCATGGTTACTGTGGTGACTGTGGTGGACCACCCACATGGAGGTGATGTTTCTGGCATGCTCCTTGGCACTGGCAGTGTGCCTAGTTGTGGGTGTGGGGGGGTCCAGTCCCCAGCTCCATACTTCGGGACCCTGGGCAGGCCCCGAGGTACTGGCAGTGTGCCTGGGCCACAACTAATTTTTTGTCCTTTGCTACTTCTAAAATGGGGGAACTTCCTGTGGGAACCAGTACTTGAGCTATGTGGTTGAGCTAAATTGCTGCTTTGCTGCTGTTTTCCTAGGGAAGGCTTTTTGTGCAGCTCAGGGTTTAATGGTTGACCTTATACGTACTTCCAACTCTCCAGAGACCAGGTGCACCTTGGTTGTGTAGAAACTCTGATCTGGTCCTGAGTCTTTTCACCGAACCACACCCCATGCAATTCTATATTCCTGATCAGTCTCCTCTGAGTGGTCCTGCACTGATTGGGGGGCAGATTGGCTGTCCTTGCTGTGCCCCAGTGTTCTCCTGGTGTGCCCGTCTCCCCCACCACCTGTGCTCCAAACACTTCCCATGGGACAGGCTGTGTACTGGTCCCTGGTGATGACTCATTGGCTTCTGAATGTCTCCTTTTTTTCAGTTGTTGTGGCTCCTTGCTCCTGTGTGAGTCCATGGGAATACTATTAGTGGCCTTGCTGTCCTATAATCTCCAAATTTTCTACAATGATTTGGCAATACATTTGTTAGCAGAAAAAGCTACCAATGGAACATATCCTAAAATGTTTCACTCGTGTATTTATTTATTTATTTTCTGACCGGTAAGGGGGTTGCAACCCTCAGCACCGTGTGATCCGCACTACGCTCAGCCAGTGAGCGCACCGGCCATCCCTATATAGGATCCGAACCCATGGCCTCAGCGCTACCAGCGCCACACTCTCCCAAGGGAGCCACGGAGCCAGCCCTCACTCGTGTATTTTAAGAGATTTGCATAGATTAATATACTAGAGATGTCTTCTATGTCTCAGTCCCTGCAGGGTTTTGCCAAACACACTTTGGTGCCAAGTTTACCTGGAGAAAAAACTTTTATATCTTTATCCATCAGTTATGTGAAAGTGCATTTATGTATGTTCTCGAAAGATGATTATTTTATTTGTCAAAAATGTTTAGATAAAATCTGAAATATTTATACACAAAATAAAAATAAAAGTTATAATCCTGAGATCAGGAATAAAAGGAGACAAAGGTTGGTAATACTACTTTAAGCTTTAAGTATATTAATAATTTCTTTAACATTTATGTCTGGAAAAGCCTACACACTTAAAATGATTTCTTTTCCCTCAATTAATGTAATGTTAATACATGAGCACCATATGACTAGGAGAGTTTAATTCTTTTAAAGAGGTTTTTATTAAAAACTGAGATTACCTAAAACATATAGAAAAGCAAAGATTTATATATAAAATCTATGGCATACCCCAATCTACTTTTGGTATAGATACATGCTCAAAATAAAATTGTTATTGTTATTTTTAATAATTCAGTTCCTTCAATAAATCTGCCTTGAAATATGACACTGATAGGTGTTAGATAAATAGAGATAGATATGTTTTCCACTTGGAAACATCTTCTTTTTAAATAAATTTTTAAACAAGTAACATAAATTCTTTTATTACATGTGATAAATTATTATTTATTAAAGTAAAGATAATTTGAAATCATATTCTGGCATTAAATATGAAGCAATATGGTAAAAGATATCATCCCTTTATTCTGCTAATCTCAATTAATCAAGGACTTATTCAGTGTCTACTATGGGCTCAACACCCCAAAAGTAGTTTCGTAATGATATGCAAAAAGATTTTAGTTAGAGCTTTGTTGTGATGTACAGTTATGTACTATGTTTTTTAGAGCTGTACTGATACATTAATTCATTTATTGGTTAGTTTCCTATTATCTCATTTGGTAGAAACAAAAAGTTCAATGAGAAGAAAGTGGCTAAAGGCAAAAAAAAAAAAAAAAAAAAAAAAAAAAAAAAAAAAAAAAAAAAAGAGAGAGAGAGAGAGAGAAAGGGGGAGACTTTTAGAATCGACTGAGATGAGAGTTTAGGAACCTGATTTTTACCAAGATAGCAGTGGGAATGAGCAAGAATGAAATTTTATTTTTTTATTTTTTTTCCTTTTTGTCTTTTTTCATGACCGGCAACGGATCGCAACCCTCAG